GATTTCTAGTGGGTATATATACCCCATTGCTGATGTCTTTTCAATTTGATTAAGAGAGTTTTAAAAACAAGTTTAAGAAAGTTTTAAACAAGGGTTTGAGTTTGTTTAGTTTGTTTTTGGGGTTTGCTGTTACAAAGAGGAGTTTGCATCACCAGTTGAGGATTTCATCCTCAAAATCTTCTCATCCTCTCTTTGTGTTTATAGAGAAGTTTTCTAACTCTTTTCCCTAGCAATTTCATTATTGATTTATCATATATTAATTATTGCTAGTTTGCTATTTGAGTTAGATTTCATTTTACTCATTGTTACACACACCCACATTGAGCTTTTAGTATTTACATACATAGTATAGTTGGGTGGTGAGAGATTGTAACTTTGATTTGTGCTTTCATTGTGTTCTCATCTATTGTAGAGAACAAATTTATATTTGTTACATTGTGAGTGTTGTAAGGTTTTCGGTGAGCTAGAAACCGAGTGTGTAGTGAGGTTTTCGGTGAGCTAGAAACCGAGTGTGTTGTGAAGTTTTCGGTGAACTAGAAAACCGATTGTGAGGAGTGACGTTGATCGGTGAGCGTTGAAAACCGATACTGTGAGGTGTAAACGTTATTCGGGTGAACGTAGAAAACCCGGTTGATAGTGGATTTCTCCCCGGGAGTGGGGAGCGGAGACGTAGGACGGAAGGTCCGAACTCCGTGATCATATTGCTTGTTTGAGTGTGCTTTGGCGTTCATTCATATTTATGTTCATATCTTATATCGCCATTGTCATTAGCTCATTATCTATATCATCCACTATCTTGTTTAGATTATTTACCCTTGTGTTGTTTATATATCCTTGCATATATCTCATAGTATATCTCTTTGCTAGGATATTTACCTTTGTTCATATTGCTTATTCTTGCTTGTAACATATTGAATATCTCTTTTGCAAGAATAATTTGTTAATTAGTTTTAATTGGAATTTAATCGGATTAGATTAGCATAAGACCCTAATCACCCCCCCTCTAGGGTCTAACACTATCAAGGTCATGCTATTAATTTGTAATCCCTCCTCTTCATCATCATTCTCGGATTCAACACTTGCATTATCTTCTTGAATTCCCGTGTTAGTATCGAAAGCATTCGAAGTGCCCACGAACGAAGGACCGCTCATGTATTGTGATTGTGTCCAACATTCATCTTGTTGAGGAGATAAAAAGCCTACAGAATCAACTTCAGGATCCTCCAACTGAAATGAACTCAATCCTTTGTAATTCAACGATTTGCCCAAATCTCTCTGATGTTTTTCAATGAACAATTCGACCGAACGCTTCTCGTCGTGTAAGACATGAATGAGACCCATATCGTAGTCACTTGATATTTGAATGCCACTTGTTCTGTTCCCCACAACAGGATAATTGCAAACCATACTAAGGTGATACTCACGTGAGTTAGTTAATGTAAGTCTGTGTAATTCATTAACCAACTCATCGAAAGTACACGATTTTGTTATGAACAACGGCCTCGTCGTGCCTCCTTCATAAACGGGCATATTATTTTCGAGGTAATTAATCTTCCTATCATAAGAACAGAGAATTACAATTCGATCGTTCATCGTAACATCTGAAGAGTGAAAAATTCAATATCAATATTACATCTTCACAAAATTCGTAAATAATTCACAATTAAATTCTAAAATCTAAATACAATAATTTTCGAAATTATTGATAAATTCCCCTCTAATTTCACAAAATTATTGATAATTTCCACACTAATTCTTCACAAATTTCACAAAATTATTGATAATTTCCCCTTTGATAATTTCCTCTCTAATTTTCACATTTATTGATAATTTCCACACTAATTTTCATATTTATTGATAATTTCCCCTCTAATTTTCACATTTCTTCACAAAATTCGTAAATAATTCATAATTAAATTCTAAAATCTAGATTTTTACATATAATCACAATCAAATAGTGAGAGTATACAAAAATTAGAGAGTATAGTTTTTTTTAGGAAGAATTTACCTTTTTTTTTGGATGGGGACTTATCGGTGTGAGGCTGTGGGTCACGGGTTCGCGCCTTATATAGGCGTGGCCAAAACTCCACGGGAGTTCAACTCCCGTGGAGTTACAGTCGAAAATTCTCAGAGAGTCGATCTCTGGGAATTTTTGACTGCAACTTCACGGGAGTTCAACTCCCGTGAAGTTGCAGTCCAAAATTCCCAGAGATCGACTCTTTGAGAATGTTGGACTGTAACTCCATGGGAGTTGAACTCCCGTGGAGTTTTAAGCACAAATTAAGCTTCACGGGAGTTCAACTCCCGTGAAGTTTAATTTCTCAATAAACTTCACGGGAGTTGAACTCCCCTGATGTTTCGGAGAATTTTTTACAAAAACCGACCTGTTTTCAGCGCTAGGCTGAAAACATGTCGGTTTTTGTAATTATTTTCAAAAGTGATCGTTTTTTACAAATAAAATCCAAAAATAGGTGGTTTTGAAAATTTGTCCGAGCATCACAAGATGCTTTTAACCCCCAAGGGGGTTGTAGACCGATATTCAAATCAGAAAGTGTATTAACGACTTGACTTTCAGCTAAGGTGAGAGACGGTGCTTCTCCACTCTAGGAGAAGTTCATTTGGCTTATGGCAAAGCCAAGACTGTTGTCGGCAATAGTCGCCTTCTTTGGAGCGATGGTCGAATTTGATCCTATTTTTGCAGTTCCGTGAATCCTATGGCAATTTTTGGTGGTGGTTGTGGATGATCTTTTTAGCGGAAATAAATTCCTCAAAATTTATTCA